CTTTACATTACATGTTGATGTACCATTTATCTTTTGAAATATAAATCCTTTATTACAATACATAAACCTGCAGTATTTTCATTTAAAAGGTAAAACATAAACTTATTTAACAAATTACCTACCTGTTATGACAGTAATTCAGATGGGATCCAAACGCTCTTTCTCTACCGATGTTCCACATGTGCCTTGCTTTTCTTCCCTATCACTTCATGCATCGGAAACAATAACAAACAAATTTTGAATATGCCTCGTGCCCCATCGCTTATCTGAGAGATGGCTATGAGCTGGTCCTTTTCTATAAGTAAACCATTGCCAATGTCAATCTATTGGAAGATAGATAATTATTTACTATTTATTAGTAGACTTTCTTCCCACATTTGCGCATGCTATTAGTATTTGACTGTCAATGGACATCCATGTAAAATATTCACACCCCAGTTATTTATACCATATTTTTTGGTCAACAAAAATATAATTATGCTTGAAGTATTTCAAACTTTAATTACAGCATAATTGAAACTTCCTATGTATAGAATATGAGTATATTAAAAAGTTCCAGGTATTGATGTTTTTGGGCATGACTTGTGTGGTTGTCGAATTTAAAATACCAATTATTGAGGTCAGACAGTTGACAGTTATACAATCATTCATTTTGAAAAAGAGTGAAGTATATTGAACTGTGCAAAAAACAAGTCTCAATATTTTTGGTTGACACAAAATACAATAAATAAGTGATATTTAAAGAAAAAATGCATTTTATTTTTCAAATTTCCTGCCTTGGGCAGGACTTAGGCCTAGGCTAGGTACTGTGTTTTGTAGGCCTTAGGTTAAGGAAGAAGCCTAAGCCTAGGCTAGGCCTAGGTAGGCAAAAAAAAAACAACGATTTTTCTTTTGTGTCCCAACGCCCGTACCTGACCCGTTGCACTTTTTTTACTCAATTCTTATGTTTAGCCTAGGCCTAGGGCCTGGCCTAAACAGTACAGTATACGAACAGAAACACTGCCACTGCACTGACTGACGAACTGACTGAACTAAACTTGATACTTAGCTACAAAATTATATCTAGGCCTAGGCTAGAATAAGTAACTAGGCGTAATGTGAAAGGCGTACATTAATGGACAAAAGGAGATTATGTTTTCTTTACTTACCACAATACTGACTGTGCATAGGCCTAGAGACCTTGGCATGTTGCGCACTCTTCTTTTTTTCCAAATGGCAACAGAATAGTAGGCCTAGCGGCTATCCTAGGCTAGGTTGAGTTTCAACGGAAGAACGTCCATTTAACTAGTACATAGACATTGCTACAGGTATTAACCATTTCAATAAAATATCAGTTTGCGATTATTACCCCAATTATTACTGAACAAAAGGAGGACATCACAACAACAAAGGGTGCAGCAAGCGAGAGAGATGTCGATGAAGACCGTTCCGTTAGCTTTCAAATTTCACCACCCAGTTGAGGAATGTACCATGTTTAATAGAGGGGCGGAGAAACCATTTAAGACCAGTTGAGTTATAATTCTTATTAAATGCATTTATATAAAACCTTCTGTAATTAATCATTTGTTTTGTGTAGGAAAGTATATATAATATAGCATTTCATACAATAAATAATTTACTAAATCGTGCATCTCAACTCATAAATTGGACCCCTATCACGGCCTGATCCATTGTCTGGTTATTGAAAACAATGTCTCTCTCCCATCTGGAATGATGATTAAAGTAGTTAGGTTTTAAGTTACACTAACAAGTAACTTTAAAATGGTCACCATAATGGTGGTTTGTGGTTAATGGTTTTGTAAGATTAATTAAGTATTTGTTACAAATATGTGCATTAAATACATTTTTCATTTCAATTTTGAAATGTGGTGTAAGGCTAAGTATTTGCTGTTTTTAACATTTAATTAAATGTTTATAATTTAATGTATAATTTAACTTAAATGTTTAAATTAAATGCTTAATTTAATGTTTTTAACATTTTAACTTAAAATGTGAGCATGCTAATTGATACTGTAACTTATGCATCTGTTATACATTTCCAAACAGATATTCTATAGAATTCCTATACAACTTCTAAAGCAAATGTTATAGATGTCTATAGAATTTTCTATAGAATTTCTATACAGCTTCTAAAGAGAATGTTATAGATTTCTATAAAATTTTTCCAGAAATATGAAACATAATTATTTGCGACAAAATGATACACATATTAAACTCTATGCATTATTTAGTTACTCAACATCAGACCATGAGCCAAAAGCAATAGTTTTATTTATTATTTTTTTTATTATTATTATTTAATAATCATGTTTCATATTCAAAACCAAGCTTCTGCAATAACACATTTATTGAAAATCCACTGTAGGTTACCAATACATAAATTGTGCAACAAACTAATTTTCTATAGAGTGGAATACAACATTCTATAGAAAATATTAAAATTCTATAGAATGCGTAATCTCTATAAAACATTTCTATAGAATTTTTTTGCCTCTATAGAGTTACATAGAACTCTATATAAAGTTCTATAGAATTCTATAGAGCTCTATAGAACTTTTTTGTATGGGAGGTCACAGGTTGGAATCCCATCAAAGTTAAATATAGTGTTCAAAAAAAGGTAAATGCAGTGTTCAGATAAAGGACATATAGATACATCGTGTAGAATAGCTCTCAACGAATGTTGTCCTATAAATAAATAAATAAATAAATAAATAAATAAATAATAAAGGAATTGTGTAATAAAATGCCTCTGACGGGATTCGAATTCGAAATTTGTTCATTTATTTAAAGGACAACATTAGTTGAGAGGCTACACGGTATTATTATATATGTCTTCTACTTGAACACTGTATTTACCTTTCTTTCATTATATATATATATATATATATATTTTTTTATATATATATATATATATATATATATATATGTATATATATTATGTATGTATGTATGTTTGTATATATATGTATGTATATATAGGTGTATGTATGTAGGTATGCCTGCATAATGTGGTATTTTCGGTTTATTATCACTATAGAACCAGAATACAGTAGATTTCCCTTGTGACTCCCATATTAAAGGGACATTTTTTCGGCCACGAAACGAGGACATTACATCAACACTACGGCCAACCTCTATTTTAGGGGACACCCCTATTAGCAGAACACTTCTCTACTATTACTGTGTAATATATCAATATAATTAATTGTGTTACGACACTGTCTGTGTGAAAGTCTGTGTATTGTCATCTTGTGCTTGTGTAGGCCTACCCAAAATATCGTTGCGAATCTTCCGAATCCCGCGTTTAAATTCTGTAAAGGTAAAGCAATATATAAACGGATTGATACACAGATTCCCAACATTCAATAACACGGTGACTTCATGCAAGAGAACAGAGCTGAACTCAAAACATCTGCAAATATTGTACACAATGTACAACGTGAAATTTGGCGTGACTGTAACGAGAAATGCTATGGCCACGAGAACTAATGTCAGGATCATGCTTCGCTGTGGTTTTTTTAGTTGTCGGTTATTGCTGGAGCGCGATTCGTTGTTCGAATTTTGAATCTTTGCCATCTTGCGCAGGCTCAGCAAAATGCGTGCGTAGCAATATACTAACACAATGACGGGAATCATCCAGTACATGCTAAATATGAAGAAAGCAGATAACAGTGCGGTTGTGTTACTAGAGTAAAAGTATTTACATTCACCTTTGCTTTCTGGATTTACTTTAGCAATGACCATGACCGTGCAGGAAGAAAGGAATCCGAAAAGATGAGGAACAATTAGTGTGGCTATTTTCTTTCTGCTAACGCTCTTCTGCCGGTACATGACAGGATGAACGACAGCAACATAGCGCTCTATGGTAATCATTACGAGATTGTAAGAAGACGTCGCTGACATATACCAGTATAGAAACCTGCTCTTACAGAATACATTTCCCTTTGTACCTTCAGGGGCATCGTAGTTGTAGAAGACCAGGAACATACAACATCCCAACATATCAATCATTGTTTGATGAAGCAACAGGGCATGTGACAACGATTTCTTATAGGTTTTATTATAGATGAAGACAAACATTACAAGCAGATTGACAACGACTCCAACAATAGAAACCAGCCAGCGAGCAATGATCAACGTGACCGAGTCTTCAAGATCAGGAACTGATGTTGCCACTGGAGTAGTCATGTTGTCCATTGTCTGCAAAATTAAAAAAATATAATATGTATATTGTTTTACTATTCTTGACTTTTGAATATATATATATATATATATATATATATATATACACATATATATATATATATGTATGTATGTATGTATATATATATGTAACGATATGGTGTATATATATTGTTAAGTACTGTATCTTAGGCTGTAGCTTTTTAGTGGATTTTCATCTATAGTATAATTGCAGTTGCTGTCTAGCATTGTGGTTTTGTTTGAATTACTTACATACCATACTCAAAAACATCTAGATGAGTAGGTTCTGTGGTTGGAGTCAGTAACCTGGGTATTTGTGCTTGCATAGATCAGTGTAATTAGTATTGAGTTTTACAAGTGAGCAGTAGTATTAATAAATAGTGTATTTTATATTGGATTCCATATATCTTGTTGCTTGCTGTTTCATTTTGTTTGTAGCTGAAAAAACCTGGGTAAAAGATTATTATTATTATTGCTATTATTATTATTATTATTATTATTATTATTATTATTATTATTATTATTATTATTATTATTACATTATTAAGAAGACACAACAATAATTGTTACTTAACCAATATCCTGAGGCGCGTGGAACGGAGAGAGTAGAGAAAACAGTAGAACTTATACATACTGTTTGTGGTGCTGAACTAATAATAATAATTCAAATAATAAAACATTAAATAGTTAAACCGTTATTAAATTTTTAATTATTGGTCATGTTGTAACTTCAGCCGTTGTCTTTCAAACCATTTAAATTATCGTAGCAAAAAGTATAAAAACTAACTTGTGTTTTTAATGAAAGTTAATCACTTGTAAATTATAAATGCTTGAAAATGTGTAGTTCAATGGTTTGATTGAATGTGTGTGGAACCAGCTCGGGTTCCATTTCTGGTAGTTTTCCTTCGTTTGCATTTTAGCTGTTGCTTGTCAAGTTTGTAGGCTTACTCCAGGATCCAACCATTGTTTTTCAGTTTGCCTTTTAATTTATATACGGTATACAAAATAATACACGGATGCAAACGCCATAATACCTCAACTACTAAAAAGGTTTTAGTATAATATCTGTTTATAATGATGCAATAACGTATTACTGCAACTTCTACGCCAAAACCATTGAAATTTTATTAACTCCAATGGCAAAGCGATTGAAATTAAAGCATTCTTTAATGCTTAATATTACCCATTATAGCATTACAACACACCACTTCAAAAGGTAAATCAGCCAACATTTGAAGATTTTCCACAACATAACCAGAAAGCCAATAATATTTAACGCATTTCAAAAGTATATGCGCATATATTGTAATCTGACTGTATATAAACGATTGCAGATTTGATGGTAACGGAAGATATATATACTGAAGATGATTATACAGGAAAACTTACTAAAATTTAAAAATGCAACGAGCTTGCATTATTAAGAAATCAATGGGTTTTTCTAATTGCGTCAGAAAAGGGACGCAACACTACATTTATTAACCAAATTTACAACAGAAACAGCAGCAGAGTGACTAATTTTTATCAGCATGAAGAATGGAATGTTTAAAGAAGCTGTGTTCAATAGTGAAGAATAGTAATGAAACAAATAACTAATGAAAATGATAGGTTATAGGTTCGCACGTAAACCCCTAAATGGTTGTAAGAATAATGCGAGCCGAAATCATTCATTGATCAAAATAATCTAATAAGAAAACCAAATTGACAAAAAGCAAAATAACAGAATGAATATTGATACTGAAGATAGTATAACTTGCATAATCAGGAATCTTCTGTCATTTTATTTGTTTAAATTATAACATTTTGTGAAGCATTAAACAGAAAATAGAGCAGTAGGGTGTCCAATTCCAGATATGAGAAAAACACTTGTACAACTTGATCCCTCACAAAACATGGAAAGACGCCACCACTGCAAATCATTGGATTTTGATCAGGAGGTTCAGCTGGGATAATATTGATGTTGTTTGTCAAGAAATTCATGCGTAAAAGCTATCAATTACTATGATGAGAATAATATTCTTAAATTTTGATTAATCTACAAGCAGCTTGCACGCGAGTACCATCCAGATGCATCCAACAAACATTGTGCAATCGGATGATACTACCAGAAAATGTAAAAATATCCGTAAAAAACACGCTTCTGATTTAAAACAAATATTGCACTCGCATATCGAAACTTGTTAAATTTGATAAAGTGCCGCTTATTGATGTAGAAAGATCAATACTTTATACATTTTTTCGCGACATAATAACGCTACTCCATAAGCCACGTTATGAGACTTAGTTTATATGGAGCATCACATGTTCTTGTTTGGTATGTGAAGTGACTGCCACTTACCTAATAGAACCAGAACAGTGTCGTTAAGACGCTATTGATCCTTGGTCGTGTGCCTAATGGAATGACTAAAATGATTATATTTTTGTTATTAACATGCGGATACAAACCTACAGTACTAGTGGCGTAGCTAGATGATGATGGGCCTTAGTGCAAGAATAATTGCCGGGCCTTTAGATTTGAAGCCTCAATCACGGTTCTTAGGCCTAGTCTATGACTGGTACCGAGACAGGTACAACAAATACTAATGGTAATGGTAATGGTGGGATATTTGTAGTGCGCCTTCCACAATAAAATCGTCTCAAGGCGCCGAAGAAAAAATAGGACCATAAATTATAAAAAATAAAATAATATTATATCTTAAATTAATTAGCCAATATTAATCAGAATATTTTTTTAAATATTTATAATAAGTTAAATAAATAAAAATAAATAAATAAATAAAGTAAATAAATAAATTAATAAGTAAACAAATATAAAATTAAATAATAAATAAATAAATAAATAAGTAAAAAAAAGAAGCCTTCAAAAACAGGCAGACCAGGGAAGGAAAAAACCAAGCTGCAGCACGAAAAAGAGCACTCCTGACAGTTGTTGAGACGGCGACACCACCACTACCGCGTACACGCAGGTACTCCGGCGACAGTATGCTGGGCTCCGGTACTATAGTCTCAAAATAAGAAAAAAATCACTAAACTTTATATATTGACACATTTAGAGCAAGGAACTTTTTATCACATTTCTACTGCTGTTTGTCAAGGGCGAGCTTTTGTTAGACTACATAATAATAATAATAATAATAATAATAATAATAATAATAATAATAATAATAATAATAATAATAATAATAATAATAATAATAACAATAATATAATAATAATAATAATAATAATAAAATTAATAATAATAATAATAATAATAATAATAATAATGATAATAATAATAATATTTGGCCTAATAATAATAATAATAATAATAATAATATTTTAACTGAAATTGCAAAAAGAATTTTGAACCAGGTAAAATAATCTGTCTTTGTTTGGAAGTAGTTTGATGTGTTTAAGTATATTCATAGTTTGTTGTTTTGGTTGTATCTTTTTAAGTCGTTTTCTGTTCTCTCCTCTTATTGATTTGATTGAATTTTTGTATTTTGAGAATTTGTCCAATTTTTTCTTAGTTGTTATTTTAATTATTCTGGTATATGTATGAATAACTTAATCATAATGAATCATGAATAAATTGAAATTGAAATTAATTGAAATTGAAAATTGAATTTTGAAATTTGAAATTTGAGCAATAAGCCAGAATTTTCTCCCCAACTCATGAGAGTTAATATCGGTAAGGCATAGAAGTGCGTGTGTTACTTCGATAAACCAATCTTGTCCAGTCTTGTCTTAACCATTGGATGGAATTTCTTTGTCTTCGTTTTTCATGCACTCTCATAGGATTCTAATTCATTTATTAACATTGCATCATGAAGCAATATAAAATGCAGAACATATATAACTACTATTTTAGTTACATTTCTGCTGATTTCATATTATAAATGAATATATTTCCCTTGAAAATTATTGCTAGAAATAAATTATAATTCTACTGTAACTAATTATGTCAATAAAAATAAAATTATGAAGAATTGTATGTCATCGTTATAATATAAAAAAAACGCCAAAAAACCCTATTAATGGGACAATTTCACGTTTTTTTGTTAGTGTCCCCAGAATAGAGGTACCCTATTCAGGGGACACCCCTATTAAGGTGACCCTTTTCCACCCGAAGGTGTCCACTTAATAGGGGTTTTACTGTATTATGGTGATCCTGTATTTTAGCTCATCAATCTTAGCCACAGTTTCAATTCATTATTTTTTTCATAAATATCTGCTATTAAAAATATTAAATATTGTGACCAATAAGTGAGCTGGAATCTTTATTAATAATTGACTGTTTTTACATTGATTATTTATGTATAACTTCTTATTTAATTAAAGATAAAATGCTGCTTATTAAAACGTTGTAACGATATGAAATATCTGCATAGGCACCCCAGTCACGAGAAAATAAATGCAATCAACTTACCGTACTACACTTCATTCAATATTGATCGTTTCAGACTGAAGCAACATGCTCATTGAATTGTAAATATTGAGGACCTTCCAGTGATCGTAGTATTATGCTTAAGTATTAAAAAACAATATAATTTTTTTTTTTATCGTCATGGGCCTAATACTTTGCAATACAATGAGAAAAAAAACAGCTGCGTGTTGCTCGTTTAGTAATAAACGTTAAGTAGCATGATTAAATAACTCCATAACTATATTGTTCTGCAAATTTTCATACAATTTTTCCAGGTTAATGCTTAATTTCTATGTTAATGTAATTTTTTACCGTACCTAAAATATTGGATCTACACACTTAAAATGTCAAATAAACTGATCAAAATATTAAAGTCTACTACACACTTCTCGAAAGTAGAAGTAATGATCAACCCATTATTCTATACATTGTGAGTTTTTATGTTACATTTTTCTGTAGCAACATTTTGAAATAAACGGAACATGTCCATCAGTCTTAACTTCCTAAAATGGACCCACGGAACTCTCTTATTGCATAACTGTATAATCATTAGTTGAGGAAATTCGTAAAATGAAATGTCTTTAGCCGTTTGGTCGGATTGATTGATTCGT